ACTTTGCTTTTGCTATCAACTAAAATTTCTTCTCTACCATCATCTCTTATTACTTTTACGGCGTTATAATAATCTTTAAATATAAGTTTCACTGGAATATGACAAGCCTCTCTGGTCTCAATATCTCTTAAAACCAAACATCTGGTTCAACTGCCAATACCCACAAGTGTCTAAAAGCTTGTAAATGTGTCCTATTATCATACGATTCAATCGGACATCTTGGAAATAATGCACAAACTAAACCTGCTATCGCTTTGTTAGACGTCGAAAGTGTAAAATTCCTCCCCCAAGAAATAAGAATCCTAATGACATGCTTGTTACCACATGAGTTCCATATGAATGCGAAATAGTACTTGAGCTGCTAGTATCAACTTCTTGTCGATGAAGTTTACGTATTTTTTGTAAATCTTCTAGATTTCCGCTATCCGCAACAACTATTGAAACACTCGTAGATAAAACATTCAAACAAGATTTGATGGCTGATATTGTGATATTTTTATCGAACGTTGATGCTAAAAATTTACAAGTATAAATCAGAATTTACATACATAATTATAACTTTAAGGTGAAATATTACCTCTTCTTGTACTCCAATCCAATAAATAAATCAAGAAAGTAAGCATTTAAGTGCCTTTTTATCATCGGATCCTGCATATTTAAGTGCCATACCGAAACAAGCTCTCGACAATATATAATCATACGATCTCCTAATAGATTTGAGGTTATCATAATTAATATCAGAATTAGGCGTCAGCTGCATACTTTATTTTTGTAATTAGCAATTTTTCATTAATCGATATACAAAATATTGTAAACAACTGATCTCTTAATAGAATTGTTACGCATCATTCAAAACCTTCTAACAATTGAGATCAAACGTGTTAGAATTGCCTATAGCAAATTTATTCGTATACAACCCTATATAAAATTTTAATTTTAATATATAGTAAAAAAAATTATTTTTAAAAACAATTTTAGCATTTATCGCCGGTGGCGATACCATCTCTTATTTCTTTTATCAAATTTAGAGATAGGGTGCAATTTTAGACCAAGGTTAGGGTTAGTATGTATAAAGGTTCAAATCTTCGTTATTGTTAGGTTTTTTGGGGTCCTGAACATTTTTACATAGTACCTCACATGTGTTAGCTAATAGATTTTTGAGATATAGTATCACCGGCGATATCACCACTGGCGATAAATAGCAATATTCTTTAAAAAAATATATATAATTTTAAAATAAATTTTAAACTTAAATTTAAACATTTTTATTACAATTTAAACTCTAATTACAATTTTAAATAATATAAACAAAAATATAAACTTTACTTTAGCTTAAAGAAAGGAAGTAAAGTTTAATATAATTAAATAAAAAGACATTCAAAAATTGTCTAATTAACTAAGATTAGATGTACTAAGTAAAAATGGTCAGAACCCCCAAAACTTATAATTAAAATTTGACTTTTAAATTTGACCTCATCTTTGTCATTAACTGCATCCTAACTCTAAATTTTAGCCAAAACAAACCATATTAACATTATACACACCATAGGTGCCTTTTATCTATAATTTTTATATAATTTATATAATATATATAATATATATAAGTTTATTATGAAGTATTATTTTTAAAAATAAAATATTTGCATCTGGATATAACGTTTTTTAAAATTTTGAACCTATATACTTAAATTGGTCATCTAGTCTAGTTCTAGTTCAAAACTACTGTAGCAAGTTAAGTTCGAACTAGCTAGTCTAGTAATTCATATTATCGTTCAGGTTAATAGTTCAACTTTGATGGTATTTATAATATTACGATATAAAAAACTGGTTCCTTGTGTAAAAAAGAAAAAACCAATTTTTTTTCTTTGGGTATCTAGTCTTATATGGTATAGATTACCATTTCAAAATTTTTAACGTGTTTCGGACGTGGTCTTTTCTTGCGAAGTTTCGTCTATTTTAATATAACGTAATCTATTAAAAATATTATTAGTAATAATATATTAATTAAAATCGAATTACGTAATTAATTATTAGACTAGTTATGAACTACTAGTTTAAATTAGATTGCAGTAGTTTTTCAAAGATTACTTCCAGACCGGTTCATACGAACGATTTAGCTTCCCTATATATACCTAAGAAAATGTCTGGTTAAACCGACATCTGGGTATATCGGACAATTATTTTTTTGAACCAGAGTGACGTGTTTATATGTTGTAAGTAGGAACGGAATTTAGTTAAATTAGGGTTAGAGTAATATTAGAGATATGTTATTCCCCGTCTCATGATCGTATGACGTGTTATTAATCACAATTTCTATCAGTTATTTCATAAAAATGTACCCACCACTTCTTATTGGTTCTACTAATTATTCATATATCGGAGTATTTGTATTATTAGTCAATTTTATAGTTCTCCGATAGTGAAGTGGTGGGGAAATTAAGGCACCCAAAATATAAAGGAATGTGAAAAACAATTAGTAACATGAGTCACTGTTATAACGTCATATGAAACGTTGAATAACTCTTTATTCAAGTGGCGCACTGATGGGGCGCAAGCCCCCACGTATGCCACTGGGAAAATATTTCATTATTCCCACCGGAGATTAAATGGGGTGTGATCTATTAAAACAGCCCATTTTTACAATTTTTCAATTTTTTTTTTATTTGAATAGATATATATTCAACAAAAAAGTTTGTTATAAGTTACCAAAGCCAATTATATAATAAAAAGATCACTAAATGAACTTTAAGTTGAATGTTTTATATACATTATTATTTGTAGATCATTATTTAAAATCGATTTACTCAAAATTGTTTATATGTAAAAATGGGCTGTTTTAATAGATCACACCCCAAATGATCTAACATTTGTTATTTGGATTATTTGAAATATTTATCATCAATGTAGCCAGTTATACATACCGCAAATCTTTAAAATCCCACCTAGTGTTGTAACCCAAACTATTTGGGACGTCCCAAATTACGTGTCAATTAGTATCACGTAGTTTCGGAAATAAGAAAAAATGCAGCCGAAACTAATGCTATACTAATTATCACATGATTTGGGACGTCCCGGGTTACATATATAATCCCAAATCCCATTGGAACAATTCCGGACAAATTCTACTCTTGCCAATCCCAAACCTTATCCCAAATCCCAAATTCCAGATTCTAAATCCCATCTCATGTTCTAAATCCCACATCATATCTCAAATCCTAGAATCTAAAATCTCAATCCAAATGTTATACTATGAATATGCCTTGTGCAAGATAAACCTAGCATACATTTAACATATATATTTTGTGAAAGATTAGATTATATCATATAATATCATCTTAAACCATTATGATATTTATTTTGCACAAATTGTATTAGCAGATGAAGTAGAATCGCGAGATATGTATATACTGTATAGTACATATGGACTCTTAATATATCATTACCAGAATAACGATAACAATAATATTTGATTTGGGGTTTGGAATATGGATCTGTGATTTTCGGGATTTGGTGACTTGAAATTTGGGACTGGGATTTGTCCGCTTTTACCACATGAGATTTTAGACTTGACCAGACAATCCCATTTGTCCAGGTTTGTTCATGGACAAATCCCAAATCCCAAGAGTTTGTCTGGCAAGTGTATAGTCAGTGCTTTGTTTATTTGGTAGAAAATTTAAGGGACAGTCTGCAGCTAAAGGATATAAAAAAATACGGCGGAGTTTTAGTATAACTTTCATATATTGATAGAATCTGATACGTTGTATACTCACTATTAGTAATCAATATCTAATTAATAATTTGCATATTTGTATAATATATTAAATAATTGTTTTTACAAATTTAATTCTGTTTAATATTAGAGAAGGTTAAGTTAAAAACTTAGAAAAAAACCAGTTTATATTTTAATTACCGTATTCTATCGTAAATAAGCATATCTTTTTTTTTTTTTTTTTTTTAATGTCAGATTAGTGGGAATAACTTGACCAAAGATCTTATTGCCATTTCCGCTAATTCGATATTTCAAAAAAAAATGAGGTAGAGGTAGAGGGTGGGTAGGGATGGTAAAAAATCATTTTTCACCGATTTAAATCATGCGATGATTATAGCCTGAGGTTTAAAATTTAATATATTCAGGTGATAATCATCACATGTTTTAAATCGGTGAAAAATGATTTTTTACTATCCCTAGTAGAGGGGATGCTTATTTGATAGAATACGATAATAAAAGTTTTAAGAAATACGTACTATTTAATTATCAATCACAATTAGTACTAGATAACATAATTAATTTTTACCTATGGGAAAACCTGACATCGGGCTTTCAATTATATCATATGCCCAATTTGTTCCTTGAGCGCCGTCTTGGGAAAATCTTGATAAAAAATCATTTTCACTGGTTTAAAACATGTGATTATTATGATCTGAATATATTAATCAATTATATTTGTACAAATATAATTAAAAGCCTGATTATAGATGTTCTCTAGACGGCATTTGAAAACAAACCGAACACAGAATATAATTGAAAGCCCGATGTCAAGTTTCCCTTGGCAGCACTCATTAAAAATTAAAATTTTACTTAGTTGATATTCATGCCTCTAATAAATTACGTCTTTGTATTATAGAAATTTTATGTAATCTATTAATTCACTTTCGCACTTAAATTTATATAAAAAATACAAAACCAAAGTAAATTATGAAAGTTATTCAAGTTTCATGAATTTTCTAACATCGAAAATCTCTAAATTTCTATAATAAATGCAATTTACTACCTTCCATAACGACGATGATGTAATGAGAGTTCATATCCCTGACACTAATGCACCTTAAAGCATTGTCATAAATACAGTTTTTTTTTTGATCGGAAAAGTAAATCCAAAATGTCACACAATGGCCTAATGAACAATGACCCAGGTCATCTGTAGATAAGGTATTATCTAAAATTTGGATATCGACATCTGATAGTGACCAGTCGTTTGAAACCATTTGAAGACAGAAAAAATTTCAAATGACCGAGCCATTTACATGACTGGGCTGCGTAGCATACAATAACAATGCTATCCGGTGGTTTACGACGATTGTGCTGAAGGTCTGCAACCCAGGTTCGTGCCTGTGCTCAACAAAACATCTAGGCATGGGCGCATGGGCATGGGTACAGGCACAGAAATTTGATATTTGTTATTTAATTGTGCTTGGCACTTGTGCCTAACACTTTGTGCCATGTCTTTACTGGTGCCTGGCGCTTTGTGACCATGCCTTTGGTGGTGCGTGGCACTTTATGCCATGCCTTTAATGATGCCTGGCATATAGACACAGGCATATGCATAAGGCACTAGTGCTTGACCTGGTGTCAATGTGCCAGGCATTTACAGACCCCTAATTTTCTTACTAAATAACTCTCGATTTTTTGAATAACGAAACTTATTTGGTAGCTTACTAAGTAATAACGTTAATGTTTTTGTATATCTATCATTGTTTTTAATAATTTTATGCTAGTTATTATTTAAAAAACTTTAAATTTTCGGATATAAAATTTTGTCTTTTTAATTTGAGTAACCGGAACACTATTTATTAGACAAAGATTTAAAAAGCCAGTTGTAAATTTTTTTTTTTTTTTGTATATAGATATGTTTGTTTATTTTAAAAAAATAGCTAATTTAAAAAGGGAACGCCTATCACTGTATTTCCACCATGAAAATTTACTATTTAATTTATGATGACAATTTGTTTATGTGGCTAAAAGTCATATGAAAAAACATGGAAGATGTTAGAAATAGGCGTTTTCTTTAACACAACATTTTCAGCTTTTTTTTTTTACCTTTTAAAATTTTCATAAAAGTTATCCTAAATAATACCTCTTAACTTTCGATGAACGAAGCTGTTTTTGAACTCCGCAAAAATTATAACAGCATACAAAATGCTTAAGCATTGAATTAACGGCCGTTATTGATAATCATTATTCAGAGGAGTTATAACCGATATTAAATTTGGAAAAAGTGGGTACAAAAATTTGATAACAATAATAATAGTTTTTAGCCAATCATAAATTTATATTTTTAATATTATATCCCAAATTCAGATTTATATATTGATCGAAGTAATTTGAGAAGAGCAGAAATATTGTTTTATTTATATTAACTTATGTTACCTTTTATTTTTTTGCAGATATCTGATTTCAACTTGAGTTTTATATATTTCTTTTTAACCTTTTCTTGGTAATATATATATATATATATTTTCCATTTCTCAACAAAATTAATAGCAACATTATAGTTAATGTAGGCCAACATATCGATATAGCCCTATCGGGAATTTGTTTGTCGGAATATTTGACAATTTTGGTAAGATAGTTGATAAAAGAAACATTATACAAAATTAGAGAAAATCAAAGCTTTACCAATAATAAACTAGTTGTTCCGCTAACAAAACAATTACTTTTTTTGCAAGTGCTAGATTATCGGAAAACATTTTACTATGCAAATTACCAATTGTTTATGAGCCAATATGGTCGCGTGAAAATGATGTAACCGTTTATCCTATCTTGGATTCCTCGGCCGTTGTTTAATAATCTTCGTTTTTTTTTTTTTTTTTTTATAGTATAATTCAGTTTCTGGAGTTTCTCTCCGTACAAATTGCGGCACGAGTTTTAGTCATGGTAGTGCTAATTACTACGGCTGTATATAAAGAAAATACCAGTTGGTTCTCGAACATCTCTTCTCCCAATTATGAAAGACAAGTGTTTCACAATTACATAGTTGGTTTAATTGAGCCAATTGCATTTCACTAACTGCGGTTTTCTAGGCACGCATGATGCGTCACCTCGAGTCAAATATGATGAATAATTAAATTTCATGACTTTCATTGGGCGGAGTTATTAATTCAAAGCTATAAAATAGCTTCAATTTAATCGAAAACTTTCATGACTTATGTCTTGAATTTTTTTTTTCTTTTTTTGACAAATTTTAAAAAAAAATAAAAAAAAATGCCTTTAGATTTACAAAATTACGATAGAATGACACCTCGAACAGTCATTCTTACTCGTCCACCGATAAAGGTTCCATCACCTTTCGAATTTAATATTTCCGAATTTTTACCGAGAAAGAGTATTGGATGTAAAACCTCGAATGCATTCATGATATATCGAAAAGTTTACGTTAAAACATTATTACAACATGAACTTCATTCCAAGATGACTGAAGCCTCATGTTGGGCTGCAAAATCTTGGAATGAAGAATCGATCGAAGTGAAGAATGATTTTAAAAGATTTGCGAAAAAACTAAAAGAAATTTATCGACATAAATCTAAAGAAGCAATTGAAGCACAAAATTTAACACCGACTCAATTTTCGAATGAACCATTAATAAACGATAATGACGTAGAAGATTTAATGACAAACAAATCGATACCTGTGGCAAATCTGATTTATTCTAATGAATCTATTAATACCGAAAACGATTATCAATTCACGCAAAATAATCAATTAATGGATTTTACCATGATAGATTATTATGATCCTCAACAATTTCCTCGTGATTACATTATGATACCTCAAGATATGAATCAACATGATATAAGTATGAATTCAAATACAACCAAATATGAACTTTATGAATATTGCGATCATTATGATGATGATGATGAATGGATATCACCATATGAAGTATCTCACCCAATGTATGATGAATATTGTTATGATGATGATGAATGGATGTCACATCCAATGTATGAAGTATCACCTCGACTTCCATCAATTTTTGGAACAGAATAAAATATATAAAATATAAATATGTAACATAAATTAGAATTAAATAGAAACCAAAAATGCGATTAAATGTATAAAAATAATTGTTTAACAAGGACATTTTTTTTATATAAATAATTGGTTCTTAAATATGAAATGATATATAGCAAAAAAGAACAAAGATAAAAATTAAAAAATCGAACATTAATGTTCTCTTTGCTGTGTATCAATTCATACAATCAAATGTATTAATAAAATAAACAAAATTCTTAATTGAGATAAGACGCGCGTTAAAACACTAAATAAATGCGTTCGCTCGTCTCACATAAATTCCTTTTATAGCATACATATAATCGGTTATTTATTTCCGATTGACTGATTAATCTACCAATCAAATTATTAAGAATTAATTAACTGTCCGTGTCACAATAAACCTTATCTTTATTATCGTTAATGTTAATACATTATCATGGATTTTAAGAATCTGGTGTTTTTTTTTTTAAAGTTATCACAAAATTATAATATCAAATTATAATCTTAGGGTAGAGTTTACTTTATGTAAACCTACGCCGTGACCCTAAAATTCTAAAGTTTCATTTACAACATATATATATATATATGTGCTCGATTGTATGTATAAAAAATCACCAGTTTTTTTTTTGATTCAAAAATTAGGTATTATTTATCAAAATTAGAATTAATATAGAATAATCTTTACTATTAAGTAAATTAAATATAACAAATAAGTGCGTACTGCGTAGATCAAATACCTTCTTTGTCAGGCAATCTGCACATTTTTATACGTTAATTTCAGTGCATAATTTACAAGTACAATTGATTTTTAAAAATGTCGGACTATTAACAATAATATAATCATGAATAATTTTGATCTTTGCGATTAAAGGTTTAATTAAATATTTAAGCCGCACAAATTGGATGGACTCCTTTCTAACTGCGGATTCCACAAATAAACCGCAGAATCTATCTTGATATACATACCTGATACATACTTGTATGTGTTGTACGTACTGTACTGGGGTGGTAACTCAACTAAGTAAATCAAAACTATGTGAGTAAACTATGAAATTTGTTATATTACAGGTTTTTATGTTACACGAGTGAAAATCAAGATTAATTGTCTGCTTATTAAATTAAATGTTTTGGAATAAAGTTACGCTTTCGAATTTCCGAATTTTCTATTAACATATAAATTTGGACATTTTTATAAATAAATTAAATTTCATTAATTAAAGTGAAAAAAAAATTAGAATTTAGATGTACAAGTCGAAACTTTAATAAAATTTTTGCAAATCGTGCGTAACTTTTAGAGATGACTTCTGTGAAGTTTTCAATTAAAAGAAATTAGAAAAAGAATGCAATGTCAAGATGCGTTCTTTAGACATTATGCGTGCTTTATTAATTAAATATATATCTGATATTTAATCGATTATTTTAATTTCATTGATTAAAAAATCTGATCATAGTAAAATTACTAATATTGCTGATTAGTGTTCCGTAGACCCGAACCCGGCCACGTTCGGGTCTGGGCTCATGATTTTTCCGACCCGACTCAAATAAGTTGATTGGCTGGATTTGGATTCGGTCCGGGGTTTTCTGGTCGGATCCGGGTTTTTCGGTTTCGGGTTTTATTTGTGACCCGAACCGTCCCGTGAGGAACACTATTGCTGATATAGGTTTGATCTACTTAGTTGATAGTACTGTACGTACGTGTAGCTGGTAGGCAGGTACAAATAATTGATAATGCACAATTAAATATATGTATCAGATATATCTTAGTAAATAAACTATTTTATATTTATTGAAATGATACTGTAAAACTACTTAATTAAACTTCATTGCATATATATAACTTTAACGTACTAAATCTATTCTCTCACTAATTGTCACTAATGATTATCACTAATTATCATCACTAATTGTCATTACTATTACCAATTACCATTATTATTATTAGAGTCAGACCATTCACAAAGTTCAAAAGAAATCTGAAATCAATTAAAGAAGAATGAAGAATGAAGAGGTGATAAACAAGAACCAGATGTTCGTTGAACACCTCGTTTATCATCAGGTTTGCAACTAAAATAATCATTAAGTTCATCTTCAGAACCGAAAATATTTTCGATTACTTCAGGACTTAGTTCGTAATGCTTGATCCAAGATTTGTACATTTTAACAATTGACTCGTAACATTCTTCATCACAGGCAAGTTTTTTAGGAATGAGTATTCTAGTACCATCCTTCTTGAAAACGTATTTGCCATCAAGGGAGTAAGTAGGTTCCGGATCTTTATCGGTAGCTTTCTTGGTATATTCCAAGATGTTTTCGTAAATTTTAACTATGCAAAAGTCTATTTAATAATTAAAAGAAATATAGAGTTATTAACATTAAATTCATTAATAATTGTTACAGCTGATGCAGATGGGACTCTACGTATCCATTTAATTTCCGCATCAACCGTAACACCAAGATAATGTATGTAAACGAGATTATCTACCATCAGAATTTGAAGACTTATAACAATAAGCATGCTTTGTGGGATTTCCGAAATAATAAGTAAATAAAGTACCAAAGACCAGAATCATATTTTTATCCATTTTTTTAGGATCACTACTCCAATCTATTTTATTATTTAATTCTTCAGAACAAACATCTTCAATTTTTGTCCAATATTTTTTAGCAGTTTGAGGATCACAATTGAATGGTAGATCACAATAATTTTCTAATCCTTTTTTGAAATAAGTACTATTATAGGGGTCAACCTTTTTTACATCGGATTCTTTAATTACTTTTTTAATTTCTTTAATAAATTTAAAGGCTGTTGGGCAATCATCTTCATCTTGTTTAATGTCGTGAAAGATTAATTCTTGACAATCATTGCAAGAGGATACATTGAAAAGCTTTTCACATGTGAGATCTTTATCATCATAAAAGTTTAAATCTTTGTCATCGGTTGCATGAACAACAACATTAAAGACGATCAAGATAAGTAAGAGAAAATGAAGAGTTTTCATGTTTGTTTGATAGTTTTTTTTACTTGTTGAAGTTATTATTCAAGGTAGGAAACTTACTCTTCAAAGTAGGAAACGATGGGTTTTTATAAGCATCAACGGAGTGTGGATAGTGTATGAGTAATAATGAGATGTTCATTTATGTTCATTGTATGTATAATGTTCTAAGGAGATGGGAAAAAAAACAGAACTATTTTTAAAAACTCCACAAAAAAATTCTACATTTTTGGAAGTTTCCTGCTCCATACATGTTACCTTGAAAAGGCGTAATTTCGAATTTAGTTAATATATACTAAAAATTCAAACCATGTTTAAGTAAACAACCCCCGAATTACGGGAAATGTATTACCGATTATTCCGAATTTAAACACACCTTACGATTTTTGACAAAGGATTTAAGATTTGATTATTCAAATCCGGGAATTGTTTTAAAAATTAATAAAAGCACGAATATACTTGATAGAATGTATATACACACATATTTGACATGAAAAAAAAATCGGATGTCCGTTATCGTTATTAAATCATTCCACATCATTCCACTTCACTGGAATTTAAGATTAATACTTAAATAGTAACCGCTCAAAGTTATCTGTGCATAAAATAACAGGTTATTCATTTTTTTGCGGACTAGAACCTTTTTTTTTTTTTTTAAACTGTTAAAGATTACATGCATATTTATATTCGTATTGGTATTGTTTCTCATTACGCATATTTGTATCTACGTTGCGTAGCATGCGTTAAGTATATTAATTGATTTAACCTTTTATATAAACCTTCTAGAAGTTTTATTATGCCTTTGCTAGAAAAATCGACATAATAACTTTTAGTTCTTTATAATTTATATGCAAGAATATGCAGGTATGTTATCGGGTGATCGGAATCATGGCATTTTTTGCTATTCTGTCTATAGTAAGTCTTCCGCTACGCTCCGGACAATTAATGTGATTTCCAAAAATATTTTTAAATAATTTTATTCTGTAAGTATTTTTTTTAATGAAAAAATTTCGACAGTTAATTAATATATTCTATATACTAATGTACTAATTAATTAACATGCAATACAGTATTATGGGTGCCGAGATTTCAATTTTATTGCTTACTAGACTCTGTATATATGATAACTTGTTAAATTTGAAAATTCGATGACTGATTTTTTCCTGGTGACGATATTTCTAATCGCATGTGCTTTCAGTCCAAGTTTAATAGTTTTACTACGATTACATTTAATCGTCGATTCTCTTGAAAATATCATATGAGCGAATGCATATTTATCAAAGCATAGCATACAAATTGTAGTACATTATCGGGGCACGGATAAAATCAGAGTATAGTACCTGTATGAGAGCTACTATAAGTACATACATACACATATACATACGTAACGGTAAGTCTCACCGGAATATTATCACTGATGTTTTTCATATGAAAATCTTTTTATGGTGCAGTACTTAGTATCCCAGTATTTTTATGAACAGGGGAACACACATGATTATTAAAACAAAACGTAAAAGCACATGTTTATCTTATCTGAAAGAACAAACAAATCGATCAATTAAAAAAAAATGAATAATTGTACAACTTACATCATAACTCCACGTTTTTTTAACAATAATAAATACAAAAATAGGACTGACGTATTTTACATACTGAAAATACCAAGAGAAAAAGGAATTTATTATTTTATTTTTAGATAAAACATGCACAAAGAATAAACAAAGAATAAACAAAGTGTATAAATAGAAATTACTAACCAGTTAGAGCTTGTGTTACTTGTATTACTATTCCCTTTTAAGGATCTATCTTCAATTACGTCTTGAAAATGTCAGGAAACTGGTATGAAAACTTCCTCGTTAAAAAATTTCAAACTTTTACTTCATTCTTAAAAAAACGTGTTAAATTTCTTGCCATAAAGCTTTCTTCATATGATTACATAAGTTGTTATATACCATTTTTTAATCAATATTCTCATATTTTTATGATTGTCCTATATAAATTTATAGTTTTTGATCGTAATTTCATATAATTTTATATAATTTCATATAATTTCATATAATTTTACGTAATTTAACGAAGATGAATTTTATGTAATTCGTGGTTGAAAATCAGTAAATTGAACGAATTCATTCTTAGGCAAACTTATCGACATTTATATAAGTTAGTAAACATATGTCTAGGATTTTTTTTGACGTTTGTATTCCCTCAAAAATAGTCATGATCTTCATTTCATTGAATGATTTCTGTACGAGTGTTCTTCATTAATTCCGTATTACGATATGCAAACAATGACGAGAATGTAATTTCATGTCGTACGAAAGAATCCATGGAATATTCTGCAATGCTTCTAGAACTCTTATATAAATGGGTGTGTTCCCACTTTTCGAGTATTCGTTGCAGAGAACTCCGTTTCTTATAAATTTTATATGTTGAATTAAATATGTCTGAATTAATTCAGCTTAATAATTTAGTTACTGATTCTGTAATTGTCTCTGATTCTTTGTCATTAGACAATGAAATAACTATAAATGTTCCGTTTCCTCCGAAAATTAATCCATGTGATTTGATAACCATGCTTCCTGATGGAAATGTTCCTACTAGAACTCCTAATGCTTTTATAATTTATCGTAAAGCATTAATTGAAGCTGTACGTGCTGAGGGTCATAATTTACCCATGTCCTCTATATCTTCCATTGCCTCTAAACAATGGTACAAAGAACCCGAAAACGTGAAATCTGAATATAAAAGACTTGCGATTGAGGCTTTCAATTATAGTAATACAATTATTAAATCAAATTCCATATCTCGTCGCAGAAAGAATGAGCGTTGGAATACTATTACTTTCAATAATAATAGCATGACTTCCCGTAAAGATCCTAAAAGGCCCAAAAAATTGTCAAAAAATTCAAAGGTCCAATCTTCTTCCAGACGTAACTCTACTACTCCCGAAAACGTATTACAAAATACTACTAATGATATCGTTAATGATAATATTAATCTTAATACAACTAATGTTAACGATACCATTAATGATGAACATACGTTTACTTCAACTAATAATAATATTATTGCTAATATTATTGGTAACATAAATGATACAAATAATCGTTTATTAACCACTGATGAAAATTTATTACCGTTACCTGCTGATTGGGATGAATATTCTTATCAAAGCCCTGAAATTGTTTCGATCTCAAATAATGATTGTTTACTTGAAGACAACCTTGATGTCATGTTATCTCCAATATCCCCATTCAATAATCAGAATTTTTCGGATTCCTTTGTTAATACTCAACAAATTTTAACTGAAGTACCGCATCAAAATATTTGGTTGGTGGGAAATGGTATTAATAACGGACCCTATTATTACGATACAAATTTAACATGCCAATTTGATAAAAATGTAAATGATGGCTTGTTTGTTTCGGAATTTCCGTATATTGATACCGGAAAGTTGTGCCTAGATACTATAAAGAACTATAATATTGCAATTTGATTTTGGAAGAAACTTCTATTGTTTAATGTAAATTAGATCTTTATTACACCATTTTTCACTCATCTTTCACTCATTTCACCCACCAGAAAAAAAATCTTGTAAATAATTTGTAAAAACAAAAAAAAAAAACAAAAAAAATTTTGAGAAAAAATATTAATAATAGATATTTCGGTTTTGTTTATTTCTTTTTTTTTTTAATTATATTTATCATATAATGTCATTCCTGTTTATAGGAACAAAATTTACAAAATTTATAATAAAAAAAGTTTATAATAAAGAGAACCACACCAAAAAAAAAAAAACAATTTTTTTTTAACTTTTCAAATATTTGTTATATTTTTCAATGTTATTTATATCATTTCTGATTGACTTGTAATTCATAATCGTTAGCATATGTACCATGTTTCGTATTTTTAAATTAATGAGCTTAAACCAGACCGGAAAATGTTATACAATAATTATAGACTCATATTAAGGATCAAAGAGTAGTACAAATTTTCTAATAGTGAACCTCTTGCCTACAATATTCTTACGATACAAGGAAATGGCTTAAAAGCTATTGAATCAAAAATTTATACTATTTCGAAATTGAAGCATCAAAAAGTATGAAATAAGTAAAATAAAAACACTTTACACTGCCAACAAATTATAAATAACTTTTGATATGAGCGCCACACGCGCCCCTGGATGGTAACATCAGGGTTAAAAAAAAAATTTTTTTTTGATTAATATAGAGTTCGGAACCGGCTCTATGTTTTCATAATGTTAAACCCGATTTTAGTCGGTTTTAACATATCAGATATGAGAAATAGAACAGGTTCCAAACTATATGATTAGTGAAATACCAAGTTGATACAATTTATGTATTTCACAAATAAATTTATATATATGATTTTACAATAGAAATTTTTTTTTTTGAAAACTCGTACATCACAAACATCACAAGATTACCCGAAAATTATTAACCAATCAAAACACCAAATTTCCAGATTAATAAACTTGATTATCTTAAAGACATATTTTTCTACTATAATAAAGGCTTATATTATGTCGTTTTTTAATTATATTTTTTCATTTAATTGATTTTAATTGGTGTTTCATTGACAAGTTTTTATGATTATTTCTAGAAGGATTAAGTGTAACGATTATAGAAATGTTATTTCTTTTTTAAATTATAATCAAGTATAGTTTACTTAAAGTTACGAGTCAGTGTTTTTATCTGTAATTTGACTAATTCGGGTAGATCCGATAATTCGGATTGAATGCAAATATTCGTATCTGTTAATTTGGACGGATAGATCCGTAATACATAAATTCTAGACAGTTAAAAAAAATTTTGATAATAACCGAGTTGGGATCATTAAGTTACCAATATCAAAACTAAATTAGCAATTTAGATCAATAATTTGCAAGTTGCATCCACATAAAATTCGAATTTATTCGATTCGAATTATAATCCGGATATCGAAAGTAATCCTGATTTAATCCGGGTAGCCTCGAAGAATATGGTCGAAACACTATTATAATCGAATCATCAACTTTGCGTCACTCAAGTAATTCAAGGGCAACAACTTAATGGAATTTGACCAATTCGAACAACTACTTTCCAATTACGTATCATATTTTTCTAAAAATTGTTACTTTTACTTTGCAAATCTTCATAAATAATACTTAGAGCTTACTGATTTCTTATTTGAATATTCGTCGAATGACTAATAAGTACTATTTATTCAAATAACTAGCACTAGTACTTTTTGGGCTAATAACATGGTCATTACATGTGGAACAGCCAATGACTGAAGTATCACATGATGAATAATAAAAATTATCCGAATAACATTTGCATTCGTCAGATAATTATTTATTCAAATATTCACCGAATACAAATATTATTCGAATAAAGAATACGAATATGAGGTTCTAGCAATGCTTAACTAAGTGGCTCTTATGCTGGACAGGTGCGGGTCAAAATCCCGACAGGTCATAATCCCGACAATTAAAATTCCCGACAGCCAGAATTTATAAGTAGAAAATTCCAAGTATGGATATGTTTAAAGCGAAATAGACTCTTATAATTTAAGTAATGTTAGGGTCAGGTCACTTTAAATAAGGTTAAGATAGGGTTTGCTATGGTCTATGATACTTTTTATCAGAGTTGTTAATTGCCGGAATTTTTTTAACTGTCAGGATTTTTTGACTGTCGGGATTATGACCTGTCGGGATTTTGACCCAAACCCCGCTGAACTATTATTTTTACGGGACTTTAAGATATGAGGACGGTCAGTAGAAAACAAGCAAATGGATTATATTAAATTTTTTTAAACTTTAAAACATGAATAATTTGGCAACAACCTTCAATTTTAATGATTTTAATATTTTATTTTAATTCTACATATTTGTAGAATTAAAATAAATATTAAAATCATTAAAATTGGATAGGTTGTTGCCAAATTATTCATGTTTTAAAGTTTAAAAAAATTTAATATAATCCATTTGCTTGTTTTCTACTAACCACCTTATATAATTTCTTGGCAATACTCAAATTACGATAGATCAATGAAAAAAAAGGTTAGAATGTTAACAAAGCCGTGTTACATAAAACCCAGTAGTGAATAAGTGTAGCGTAGTAACTAGATTCAAGATTTTTGTTAACGGTTTATATACTCCGTTTCATTACGTTTCTGGCATGCCAGATCATGAATCTTACAATGCGTAAGACCTCTATAAGCGCATGCTCTTGAAACCAAACTTTAACAGTGTGCAATTAGAGAACAATAAGGAAAAATGGTTTTGTATATATTTGGGTTGCATGTCAATAGTCCGGTTGCACTTGGACGTTTTACTACAAACGTAATGAAATTAAGTATATATGGTTAGATTCGAGTTTTGTGTTCGTATACGGAATCTTGATTCTGATTGGATGGTATAATATTAATGGTATATGATCCGTGATTTGTACGGTTTCACACAATTTTGCACACACACCATTCTAGATAGTAGTTAACATACACTCCGTTATCATTACGTTCTTGGCATTAATAATAAAATTTAATTTTTAATAAAATTTAAATTTTAAAAAGTTCATATTAAGTTAAATGCTTTATACAGATATAAATTTATTGGAACTAAAAAATTTAAACTTAATGTTAAATTTTTATAGCATATTTGAATAGTGTTTGAACTTCGGCATCCAGGTTGCATTCTTGATTTGTATTTTATTTGTACGTATTTTTTACAAGAAATAAAAGAAATAAATAAGAAACAAAAGTTAAATCTTTTTATATAAAATGAATAAATTTCATTTCATTAATTTGCAAACATAAATTTAATCATAATTATAGATTCCACCTTGAATATTGACGCTTATTATAATGAACTCTGGATATAATTTTATATATTTATATCGATATAAAATATGATGACCTTCAAAAAAAAAAAAACCAGTAATTTCTTACAATAAATTTTTTAGAGTAATTAATTTTTTTGTTATAGTATGTTACGCGTCATTTTTAAATCATTTCTATTAATTGAAAGTCACTCTTAAAGTATTAGATTAATGTTACCAATTTTTTTGTAATAATTCGCCAATTCATAACGTATAATACTGACTAATTTATTGTATTCATTTTTATATGATCAAATAAAAAATCTCGATATAGATGTATCTTAAGTGTATAGTATTTAGGCATAAATTTAATTACAAAGCGACATATTACCTATGAATAACACATAAATTGAAGAGTGACGCGTAACAAATGCACGCTTACAACAAAGATTAGTAATAATAATATCCTGGCTTATTCGGAGATTCCTTCCTTGACTCTACAAGTTGTGTATTCACGCATTTATTTCAAGCTATGTATTCACGCATTTATTACAAGTTGTATGTTCGCGCGTATTAATATAAATTTATAAAAAAATATAATTAACGCATTTCATTTATTCGTACATTTAATGATCTATTTGTTACATACTAACTTTACTATTTTTTTTAATAAAGCTGTGAACTAATAAACTAATACATAAGGCTCCAACCCTATGAAACACTGCCGTTTTATTACTATATAGTTAATAAATGGTTTTTTTATACTTACACTTTAAATAAAATAACGTTAAAACTTCAAACCTCGTGCAACGAGATAGTTAAAAATCTTGACGGTTCAACGGATAATCTTTGTACCCGGATAGATCCAGATGACCCGTCGGATGACCCGATTGTATGTACAGTATGTCAGTATGTACGTACTTTTTGAGACGGGTTCAATCATTGTATTTGAATTTATTAATCATAGATACAGTATTTGTAAATATAAAACTGTGCTATTGTACTGCATTTGGATTACTAGTGTCTGGGCATGTCCTAACGTTCATGCATTATTAAAAAAGGAATTCTCTTTGTATAAGAAGCATGTCGTAGCATAGATCAACGGATAATCCCGATCACGATTGACCAATTAGATTACAAAACATTGACGGACAAATTTAATAGTATAGATAGAATGTTTGTTCTATTGTAAATTCTATTTATTCTATTCTATTGCACTATTGTAGATATATATTTAGCTTTTTAATATAATATTTATTTATTAATATTTGAAACAAAAAAAAAAAAAGTTTATATATAGTAAAAAATTGGTTTATTGTTCTATTCGCGAACCAAATTATTAATTACATTGTTTACACTTTACATACATCTACTTGTTTTTATAAATATAATAAACCAATTTTTATATATTGTATTCGCTAATTTATATAAAAATTCTAATATAAAAAATTTTGAATTTAAAATTAAAAATGATCGTTAAATTTTCATGTGTTGATTTACAACATTTAACCAAACTTTTATAATATTTGAACTAATTAAAGATAATATAAACAATATATAAATATAGTAATTTTTAATTAAACATAACATTTGGACTATATTCAAATCTATTCAACAAATAAATGATATAACGAACGGTCGGGCTATTCGTACCAAATTTTCAAAACTTCATTATATCTAAATTTACCAATAGTTTCATTGTATCGAACATAAGCTAAAAATGAATTTCACTATACATGTGTGTTCGTTATATCAAGGTTAGTTATGTACTATCAAAGTCAGTTCTCTTAATAATCGGACCGAGTTGTCACATGTTTTAATTAATTCGATTGGTTGATTGCATGATCACATGTAGTTTTTCTATAGGGTTGGTATGCAGCTATAGCTTATAATGAAAAGTTTTTTTTTTTATGCCAAATAAACCTTGAGTGTTAAATATTGATAGAATAGTAGATCACGAGTTATTGCCTCATAACTATATGATGTTACATCTTTCTAGAAATTCGCCAATATATTCTCCAACATTATATACATTATATGAAAGTAATAGTAATAGAAAACATATCCGAAATATTAAAAATCAATTCCAGGTAACTTTAATGATGAAATTTGTATGATTCATAAACAATTACACGAATTTCCAGAGGTTGTTCGCGAGCTGTCTAAATGTTAAAAAAAAACTCTAAATGCTTAATTCGATTTTTAACAATGAATATTAAATTCTTTAATTCATTTATCAATATCTTATTTACTTGACGGATTTACATTAATTAATAATAATATCAATTTTAAACTTGTTTACTACCAATGAATAAAAATTCTATTACATAATTTATCCTAAAATGTGATCCATTCAACTGTGCATGAATAAAAAATATATATATAATCATTAGGAGGTTGAGATCAATAGAGCTGTAAATTTATTGGTATTGATGGTGGTTGAAAGATATTATTCAATGTTTGATAATCACTTAAACGTTAATGAATAAATTTATTGGTATATGCATCATGTAACATAGTTAAACATTAACAGATAACGAAAAATAAGTTCGGTTGTACATACATATAACTTCAAAATTTTAAGAAATCCATACAAATTATTATTATCCATCTTTATTGAAAAACATCAAAAACAAAACGGAAAATATATCCTAAAATGTAACCCTGTTAAAATTAGTTTAGCTTCGATTCCTGGATAATTTAAATTATAATTTATTCTTTGTTTACCACACTGAGTACCATGGTTGTACATAAATATGTATGTGCGTACCAGATGTTTAGATTCCTAAACATTCAATGACATCAAAAATGAAAAAATGTATTCCAATTAATTTTAAAGTTGTCAAATTTATTTTTTTTATAAATAGAGTGATCAATTTCTGATTAATAATTTAAATGATCTTTTAAAATGGGTAAAATCTTTTCAAAACTCTTATTTTTTCAACGTCAAGTTCCATTTCCAAGTAGTGAATCACATATCGATTCGATCCAAGTTTGTCATGATATTTGCCGTGAGTTATGGGGTCAAAACTTCATTGCTCCAATTCATGATGAACTAAAAAAAAAAGATTTTAAAGTACTTGATGTCGGGTTAGTAAATGCTTATTAAAATTTATAATTCTTTTATACATTATATATATATTGTATAAATATACTTATGTATATACTATATAAATTGATATACGTATATACTAAAAGTACTATATAAATACTAATATCGATACACTTTCTATATATTCTTTTTAAGATGTGGCACCGGGTCTTGGGTATGTGAATTGGCTGCTGATTATCAAGCGTCTTGTCATGGTATCGATATCCAATCTGTATTTCCTACTCAAAAACCACGCAACGTGCAATTCTATACTGCAAATATTCTTAACGGATTGCCATTTGATGACAACTTTTTTGATTATGTTCACATTCGTTCTCTGGCCATGTTTTTTACTAAAGAAGACTGGGAATCTAAAGTCGTATTCGAGTTGTTTCGAGTTTTAAAGCCTAATGGTTACCTGGAGTTTGTAGAATGTGATTCAATGATATACAATATGCCAACAAGTTTGAATCCCTTATGTAAAGCTGGTATTATATCATTTTATTTTGTTTGTTCTCTAATTTTTCACTTTTGTACTTTTGCTGATATATGCCAAATTTAGGCCACCCACTACTGCCTCCAAGTTCTTCATCTTACTTAATAAGATTTGAACGTTTTCTGCATGATACAAATAAGCTTGAAAATATTTGTCATGAACAAAAACAATTAATCCTCGGTAATTGGTCAAATGACCCTCTACAAAGTATGAAAAAAAATTATTTATATTATATTTCTCCGATTTCATTTAAGTTTAATAATAAAACATTACGTTTTTAGACAAGTTAGGTTCCTTAATGTCTGGGATAATTTGCCAGTGTTTTAGAAATCATCAAGATGCATTTTGCTCTTACATTTCAAAAAAAGACTTTGCCAAGTTAATAGAGCAGCTACCAATTGATTATAATTTGTTCAAGACGTACATGGTTGTTCATAGATTTGTAGGTAAAAAAGTTGCCGATTAAAGCTAAAGTTTTCTTTTTTACAATGATTTGATCTGATGAATTTTCGAGTTTATTAAACTTAACTCTGACTAATTTGATTAATTTGAACCGCGAAAAATTATTAGCTACGTAATATTACCAATTATGTGTCTAAATATTAACTAATGAATGTATGCACTTAAGATTATTTTCTAAGATTTATTTATATAATTATTATTTTTAAGTATATAGCTTAGCACCAAAAAAATTGTAACTAGAAAGATAATATACATATGTTTTTAAAAAAATTATAGTATGCAAATTAGAAAAAAAAACTCGATTTTTATTATTAATAATAAATATAACGCGTTTAATCAATTGATTGAATTCTTCACCCAATTCATTGTTACTCAGCGGTTATATGATTTTTCAAGTGATTTTATATATTATATTAACATTATACAGTATGCATTCAAACTCTATACGTAAATGATTTTTGATGATTATGTTAGGTTTGTTGTCCAGATTAAAGCGACACCTCTTAATATTATGTTGAGTGATACAAAATCCAGTCAGGGATTTTGCCATAGATATTAATCCTGGAGTGATAATTGGCTTATAATCATGCATTTTGCTAAAGTCGTTTGCTTTTTCATAATACTTTGTTATAAATACAGTACCGGATAGCAAACATCCATTATTATTATATAACTAGGTAATTTGTATATCTCTTAAATCGTCTAGCTGACAAATTTGCCAGCTAAAATTTTTTTATGTTTTTTTTTAAATTACTTCAAATTTTATTAAAAATAATTTTCTCCTTTCTAAGCTAAAATAAACTTTTAACATTTGTTTAATTAGTGTCTATTAAAATTTTTATATTAATATATAATTTTACTATAAAATTTTTTAAAAAAAAATTTAAAAAATATATAATTTTATAAGTTTTTGAAGAGAAATTTTTATTTTACTACTATTAGAAGTTGAAATTTTAATTATAAAACAACAAAAAAAATATTATAAATAAAGTTATACAATTAGTATATTTATTCTTAATAATTTAAAAAGTTTGTTATATACTAAAGAAAAATACTATAATTGACCTATAGTAATTATCATTATTCTATTTTTAGGATTAGAGTGCAGTTTGAAACAAAAGCAAGGATTAAATATAATTATTTTAATTTTAGGTTATATAGAGTTTTCAAAAGTTTTGATTATTTTTACTTAATCAATTTGACTACTGTTTTTTAGTATGCTTTTGAAATATAGTATCCTAGATAATAATCATTATAGGTTATAGTTAGTAATATTCTATATTAAAAATAATATTTTTAAAATTTTTAATTTTTATAAAATTATATATTTTTTTAATTTTTTTCTAATAATTTAAAAATTAAAAATACTAAATATAATTTTTAATTATAGTTTTAGTTTAAAAATTTTTTTTAAAAAAAATTAAGATTTGATAAAAATTAATTAGAAATAAAGTTTAAAAATTTAAAAAAAATTTTACTAGTTAAATTTGTTAGCTAAACTGAATAATTTAAGAGATAACTAATTCTAGTTGATTAAATATTGTTATAAAATAAATTATTATTATTTTATTATTATTAGTTATTATTATTATTATTATATTATTATTATTATTTAGTATTAGTTATTTTATTATTGTATTATTATTATTATTACTAATAATTGATAGAACTTTCTAGTTAATTAGTAATCACTTAGTTACTTAGTTGCTTAATTACTTAGTCACTTAGTTGCTTAGTTGCTTAGTTGCTTAGCTGCTTAATCACTTAGTAATTAGTTACTTAGTAATTATTACTTATCAGTTGCTAGAACCTTCTAGTCACTTAGTAATCAATTAGTTGCTTAGTTGCTTAGTCGCTTAATGCTTAGTTACTTAGTCACTTAATTGCTTAGTCACTTGGTCACTTAGCCACTTAACTCACAGATATATAAACCCTGCTAAATTCCTTAAGTGTGATTAAGCAACAGATACTCCTTTTTTCTTTAATATTATAAACACATCTTGGAATTTTTTAGAAATAGAAACCTAAGGATAGTCCTTCTTGTTAGTATTTTAATAAATAACTTTTGACTATAAACTGTATTGATACTCTCTCTCTAAGATAATTTCTACAGGCAAGATTTATCTCTTCTTAGTGAAATAAAGTAAAGTTATTAGTATTGCATTACCTTTTCTGAACTGTCCCAAAGAAGAGTATAGTTTCTTGACAATGTCTAACAAAAGCTATACTTCTCTCTTAAATATTATATATACTCATAAGGGATTCTTTGTGCCATGTTATCATTATAGTATGAAAATTAAAAAGACTTTTATCTATAATAATATATAATTTTTTTTTTGCTTTTGCTAACATTACTGTTTATTAACAGTTATTATTTTTATTATATTTTTAATTATATATTATATATATAACTTGTATAAGATAAGTATATAATTAATTATATATACAATTTTTAGTTATTTATTTAAGTAGTTTGCTTACAGGTTCTATACTAGTTATTATATCTATAATCTACTAAAAAAATACTTATTTAAATATTCTAATCTCTATATTATATTAGTTAAATAATTCTGTAACTTTCATATATTTAAGTATTATTTAACTCAATATTTAGCTTTTTTTTCTATATATTTGTCAAATTATTATCTGCTTTAAAGTATGTTATTTGACTATAAGACTAAGAATACCTTTCTGCTAACTAATTTATTTACTTTATAAACTATTAATAGGATTATACTTTTATAAAGTTTACTTAAATCCTAGTATTAATTTTATAATATATCTTTAATACTTATAATATATTTTTAGTTTGTTTTCAAACTTTTAATTTAGATAGTCTAATAAAACTATAGTTTGTTTATAGTATAATATATTTAATCTAATATTCTTTTTTTTAATTTAAATTTTAATAGTTTAGTTTATTATACCTTTTATTTAGAAGTTCTTGTTTATCTGATTTCTTTATATTGCTATTTATTTTCTAAGTTTAGCTTTATAGTAGTATTATTAAAAATTTATATTACCTTTTTATTCAAATTTTATTAAGTATATTTTAGTTGTTTTTAGTTCTATAAATTTATATAGCTACAAGAACTTATCTTGAGTTTGTATTACTTAGTACTAATTTGTATTCTTTTGTATAACTAAGTTTATACAAATGCTTTATGACCTACTAGTTATGCTAATATAATTATAGTTGTAGATATCTTATCTAAACTAATTGACAAAATACTATTATTATAATACAGATATATTTTTTAAATTTTTATTTTTAGTAGATTTTGAACTTACAACCTGCTATTTTAAAAAGTAATAACTTATTTACTTCACTAAGTTGTTATATTTTAAATATAATCTTTAACCATATTAAGTATTAAAATTTTAATTATATATAAATTTTAAACTAAAATAATTTTTTTATATTTATAAAAAAAATAAAAAAGTCTAAACTAATAGAATTGTAGTTTAAATTAAAAGATAACAAATAGATTTTTTATTTTTTATTTTTAATGTTAAGGTAAGTATTTGTAATTTAAAATTTTATTAATAGTATGTCTTAGCTAATAGCTGTTTGTACAACAACTACAAGAACAATTATAAAAAAAAATATAACTAACCATTTATACAATCTTAGTTATTATCTAATTTAAGTAGTCTATTTAAAAATTTTATATATAAAATAGATTTTTTTTTAAACTTTAGCAACCTTACTAATCATTTTTATTAAGATTCTTATATATATATTTTGTACAAAGTTGGCTTAAATTCTGGTTTGACATTCTTTAACTGCTTTTATAAGTATTCAGAAGTGATCTGCTATACTGACTAAAAACTAATCTGATCAGAATGCTATACCAAGTTAGTTATTAGAGTTATAAAAAAATAGTCTTATTTTTTTTCTATAAAATTAATAACCAAACCTAATTATAAACTTTATATTCTTCTTTTTCTTTTTTTTTATAGTTTAGCTTTAATTCTTTGCTATATCTTCTTTATATACTTTATATATCAGTCTGTTAACTGTACTATTTCTTAATATATTTCTTTTTGATTCTTATCTGTAGAGCTAATTTCATTTGTCTTTTTTTAGTTAGTTACTACTTCATAATATTTTTTCTATATATTTTTAAAAAAGCTATTTTATACTATATTTGTCTTTATAGGTATAAATTTTTTAGCTTCTTTAAAAGTTTGAATAAGGCTTTGTAATATTGGTTTGGCTTTTTTTTATATTAGCTTCTTAATACTTTTAAATCTATATTCTATTCTTTTCTTTATTAAATTTCTTTATAAGATTTTTGTTAGTTTTAATTTGTTAGTCTTCTTATAGGTTTCTTTTAAAAGCACTGTTCAGACCAAATTGATAGCTAAATTTTCCGTAATAGCTTATCCTTTTTTGTAATCTTTGCATGTAACTAAATGTTCTTAGTCTTCTTTCTTGTCTTTATTATATAGAATGCAATATAGTCTTTTGTATATATTTGGTTATCTTTTTACTAAAGTCTTTAGTACTAATAGTTTTTTATTAACACATTTGATTAGTATAATTTTTTTATTTTTTCCATACTTGTACATCTGATTTTACTTGAACTTTTAACTTTTCCTTTATAGTATTAACTAATTATGCTTTTTTTTATTCTTATTTGGCTCTAATTTTTGAATAGTTAATATAAATCTTTATTTTGAATTAATTTTAAAATTTAAGATGTCTTTAATGAATTGTCTTGTCAGCTTTTTGATAAATGTTTTCTTTTAGCAAAGTAATACATTTGAACTTGGTAGTAGCATGTCTATAATTCTATTTATATTATCTATACTACTTTTTTCTTTTGCTAGTTCATTTACTTTAGTATTTTATTTATTGTCACTATGTTTTTTTGCTTTAACTAATTCTAACTTTATTTTTTTTTAATTCAAGTAGCTCTATTATACTTTTTTTTTTTTAAAAAAAAAAAAAATCTATTCTCTATCTTTTTATTAATTAGTTAATTTACATATATAAAA